CTCATGGAAATTGAATTAGAGAGGAACTTCATTAGTGCATTGGCCTGCACAGACATTCTGCTGAGAGGTGATGATGCAAGTCTTCACCAAAACAGCCGGTCCTTTGTACATTTAAATAAAAGTCTACATTTCCCAAAATCTCTCTCTACTGCAGCTGTCAGCATGCTGCTGTGTGAGATGTAGAGGAGGGCACATTTAATTTCCCCCCTTTCTGACTTCAGCAAGACCTACGATTAGGAAACAGTAAGCCCACAGTGATGGTGTTTCATCTGCTTTTGTCTGTTCTTGCTATGTTAAGTTCTTCAGTAGCATGGTGGAAGCTACTGCAGTGAAGTTCCTGGGGGAATACATTTCTTCTGTTCACCTGAGGGCCTACAGGCCAATTCTGCACTGGGGGGTAAGAAATGGGCTTAGGAATAGGAAAAAGTAGCTTCATCCCTTCCACTGTGTGTCAGTGTTGCTGGGTCTTAGTTCTTCAGACTTGAGGTGAGACTCTTAATTCAACTCACCCAGCGTTAGCCCTATGCAGTGCCTGATTTTGCTCATTTTTTTCTAGCTGTTTACTGTTAGGTCAAATAGTCCATACCATGTACACATACGGTTTTCTCAAGTATGTGTTTAGGGACTTGAGAGTGAGTAGTTAAGATACGAGTGTCAACAACTAGGAGAAGTGTATGTGGCCAAGTAAATTCTACTGAAAGGTTGCTTCCATACTAATAAATGTGTCTAGTACTGTTCTTGGCTTGGAGTCCAGCTGGGATGGAGAGGCTTACTTCCATGCAATTACTGTCTCACCTTCCAAAATAATATGACTGTGCAGTCTATGCAGACTTCTTCCTAGGAGTTGACCCCTGGTCCCTGCTAACTCTTGAACTGCACATAGGAGTTATTTAGGAGAGTGCTACTGGCACAGACCACAGCCATTCTAGATACTACGGTAATAATTTATGTTGTAGATAATCAGGTTCCTGTGCCCAGAAATGTTCCCCAGCACTAGTGTAGCCATAGCTAAGGTAGGCATCATATGTTTAGGGAGAATGGAAGAAAACTGTGCTGAAGCATTTTCAGTCTCACCTTCTCCTGCTGCAGACCACAGAAATGAAAGGATGGTTCCATGCTCACATGAAGTTTGTCTTCTGTCTCTCTCCCCTAATGCAAGCTTCAGATCTTACACTAAACTTGGTGATGGAATACAGATTCACAGCATGGTGTCCATGTTTCCTGGTGACTCCTCACTTACCTGACAGATAGACAAAGCCATCCTTGTAGTCCCAGGGGAGCGTATTGTGTGAGGGATGTACCCTGTGTGATGCCTGACTCATACTGATGATAGTATGTCGTATTGTCATGGAGGGAGATGAAGGCAACCAGTCCAGAACTTCCATCATGCTATGGCCCAGGGCTTGATATGTGTGGTGGGGATATGGATCAAAACTGTAACACTTCTCCCCCTACCTCCCTGCCACTCTCAAGTGGTGCGCATCAAGAAACACCATGAATTGTCAGCAGAGAAAATGCATCGAGCATGATTTTGAAACGTTTCAATGTTGGAAATCTGAGTAGCAAATCATCTGTTACAGAAGGCATACATCTTAAGCAACTGCTGTCCTAAAAATTGTTAAGATTAATTTGTGAATTGACATCTCTGTTATTACAGCCACGGAGCAGGGTGGCCCCCTAAGTATTTTATAATGGAGTATCTCAGCCTAGGAACACACGGCTGCTGAATAATATACAATAATGTGTAATTTAGTAACATTAAACTAGGATGTTTTGATAATATTATTTGAAAGCTGCTTAATTTATTCAATACCATTTGTATTTTGTATGTCAGTTGAGTTTGGGGAAAAAAAGAATTCAGAAGAAGCTGGGGGGAGCTTGGTAGGAAATTGTGCAATGTACTTATCTGCATCACATGGTCTGCAAAGCATGGCTTTTGCTTTTATACACATAGTCTTGGCGACTCTCCCACTAGCAACAATAGTGCTCAGACTCATACTGATGTCACTGTTGAGTTATTTAATTTGACTGAACAAGATTAATGTGTTTATTTAAAACCTTGGTCAAAATGGAAAAGAAAATCTCAGGACAATACTTTTATGTGAACATGTATGCTTTCCTTTCTGATGATTGTGATGTTGCATTAACTTATCAGGGGCAGTTGTTTACACATGCTTACGCCTGGGAGACCCCCTCAGATAAGAAGTGTGAGCCATTTTCCCTCTCAGACTGGAGCAAAGACTTCGACACCACTGCTGGTCCTGCAGGCTTTCATCCCAGGCTCTTGTGCTTCCTGTTGCTGCTTTCAGGGCTGATCCACAGAGATCCCAGAATTGTTTCTTTTTCTTGCCTGAGGATGGGGTTTGGTGCTGCCAAGCAGTGACAGCAGTGTGGTGGCATTTGGTGAATCCTCCCAAGGTTCTCATCAGGGCAGCAAGGGGCAGGCCCCTCCACTACATGGGATGCCTAGAGGGGCTGGCACTGGGCTCTGTAGGTCTGGCAAAGGCTGGAGACTGCCTGTCTAAATTTTATCCACGTTATGTTTTACAAGCTGCTTGAGGGTTGTTTCCTGTGATAAATCATTCTGAACTTACTTTGTTTACACATGTACCCTCTTAAGTGTTTTGAATAGACTTCAGTTTTAACTAAGAGGTATTAGGAACTATCCAGGTAAATGCTCCAGGTTATTGGATTTTTTACTAATGCAGTGAGAGGAAAAAAACTGGAATCTGAAGTTTCTTTGCGTGGTGGAACAGTTTGGGGCAGTTCTGTGGAATTGATCATTGATGGCTGAATGGCTGAATGGCGTGAGTGAGGGGATTTCTGCCGTGCCCTTTCAAGACCCACTCAATATCTGAGGACAGCTAGACATAGATGGGCAACATAGAAATTGCATAAGCCAGAGCTCACTGCTGCGGTGGGTGCCTGAAGCAAGGTGTGCCTGTTCTTCCTTCCAGTTCTGTAGTCCCTCTGGTTATTTTCATGCAACCTCCTGTCTGCTGGTGCTTGGAATATGAATCTCCTGGGGGAGCAGCAGCAGCTGCTGCTGAGGCTTGTGACATGCCAAAGGGTCAATTTTGTGCTTTCACTTCTGAGGGACCAAGTGCTTATATCTCCCTAGCTCTGTGAAAGGCTTCAGGAATTTGAGCCCCTTCCCTCATCATTGCTGCTGTCATGGAAGAAGGGAAAAAGCTCCTTATGTTTATATGTATCTGCATTTCTCAGGGTGCTGGGCACCCATCCTAAGGGGTAACACAGTGGGGCAGAGGAACGACATGAGAGAAAACAGAAGGACTAGGAAGAAAACAGCTCTAGGCAGTCAGTGCTTAGCAAATGTTGCATGTTGCTTAAGAGGAGCTGATGCTCTGGGCTATGCGTGTTTACCTTGCAGTGTGCTCCAGAGCTGTGTGGTGCTGCTCATATCAGGCCATGCTAAGGAACTAGTCTTTGGGATTGGCCCTCTCTATCAATATGTTGTACCTGTGCCTGCACTCGGTGTCCTCATGTGCCCTTTGAACTCCTACAAGAGCTGTGCATTTAAGGAAATGCAAAAGAATAGGGTTTGTGAGGCCCTGCTGCTCCCTACATCAGGCACTGTCTCTCTGTCTCTTCAGTGGCTGGATATAAGCACTGCTGAGGACTATGTCCAGGTTGTGTTACTCATGCAGGGCAAGAAGGACCCAAGTCTTCCCATAGTGGTAGAGTAGGGCAATCATGAAGCTGCTTCTCCGGAGGCATCCATTTAGGAGCTGCCCCGGTCTCTTCCTTTTAAGTGCCCTCTGTTACAGTTCAGTCCTTTGAACTTGGTATGCACATGAGGTCCAGGAAGTACATTTAAAGTAGTAAATTGCTTGACATAAAAGAAGGTTTTTCCTCAGAGTTCCAGTCAGTGAAAATAAGTAATTTTCAGCTAAATTTAGACTGGACTCAGTTACATAAAAAAACTCAAACCAACAACAAAAAGAAACAAACAAGCAAACCCCCCCAAACAAACAATCAAACAAAAAAACCCAAGCTTCCCTCTCCCCAAACCAAACCAAAAAATAAACAGTAAAGTAAAACCCTCAAGAACAAAACTTTCTGTTGGAGATTATCAGTTGTAGCGGTTCCTAGTAGAAATAACTCAGGATCCATCCAGCACAAACTGTGTCCAAAAGTCTGTGGTTTTCATCCAAAAAACTGAGAGTTCTTGGAGAGAGTGAAAAGACTGGCTAATAAAAACAAGGTTTTTTTCTTGCATGTGACAGAATGTAAATAAGCTTAGAAAATAGTGATTGATCTTTCAAAGGCACTAAATGAAATCTGGGATTAGTTAAATTTTTTATTTATTTTGTAGTTGATATTGTACAACTCTTGATAGTAGACTGAGACTGGAGGGTCAGAGAGAGTTGAAATCAGAAAAATAGTCTACTTATTACTTTCATAAAATCTGATATGAAAGATACAATTTTGTAGAAGATGCTTGAGCTGAACCTACAGCTACCATCATTAAAAAAAGTGCTACATTTTCTTTTGTCGTAAATACAACCCAAATCCTACTACAGTTTGCCTAGTGCATTAAACTCTCAACACAAATTGAAGTGACTGGACACTTAATGCTTTCTGAGGTCCAACTTTAAAATTAGTGTGGAGGGGATTAGGGAGCAGATAAAAATAAACAGCAAAAAGCAAACAGAAAACCATTGACAATTAAATATACATTTTTAATAATTTATCTTTCAAAAGATTTTACTGAAAGAACATTGAAAGCAGCTTGTGAAGCCTAACTGTATATTGTGTTGTTATTCCAGGCTTCATCAGCATTTTCTGGATGTTTGGAAAGTTCTGAGACCCACCCTGCTGGAGTACTTGTAACCAGTACCTAAGACCACAAAAACGTATGTGTGGAAGAACCTTTCCCTGAAGGAAGCATCCATCTCAATATTGTGGAAACACCGTACAAGCCTTGCAAGGCAAAAGAGCAACTTGTGCTTCTGTTGACGCTCGTGTGTAATCTCTGCTTCTTATGCACTCCAGCTCCCCTATCAGTTCCTTGTTCTCCTTTACCAGCCCTGCAGTGAAAAAGCTGCTGGGCTGGAAACAAGGAGATGAGGAGGAAAAGTGGGCCGAAAAAGCTGTTGATGCCTTGGTGAAGAAGTTAAAGAAGAAAAAAGGTGCCATGGAGGAACTGGAAAGGGCTCTGAGTTGTCCGGGTCAGCCCAGTAAATGTGTCACCATCCCACGTTCCTTGGATGGGCGGCTGCAGGTCTCTCACCGCAAAGGTCTTCCCCATGTCATCTACTGCAGAGTGTGGCGCTGGCCTGATTTACAGTCTCACCATGAGCTGAAACCACTGGAATGTTGCGACTTCCCATTTGGTTCAAAGCAGAAAGAAGTGTGCATTAACCCCTACCATTACAGGCGGGTGGAAACCCCAGGTAATTCTGTTATCTGCAAGTGATTCACATCTCTCTGTTAGCTCTTCCATTGGCAGGTCTAGTTTTGGTGCATCCTCCTGAATTCTGCTCTGAACTATGAAAAGGCAGACTGCATCTGATGGAAGGACTCTGGGTCTTCCCGTGCCTGGTGGCATCACAGCTCCAGTGGCTGGGAGTGAGTGGGGTCCCCATCCTGTTGGACCCCCGAGGTGCCCGGGTCTTGTTCAGGGTGCTGAAAACCACCTCCTTCTTCATGGTTTTGGGTGCTGGCTGCCCTCTAAACCCTTCTCCTGCAAACTGGTCACCATTTGCAGGTAGTCTAGGCACCATCCTAGACTTGCCACCCTGGCTAGATTTTATGTCTTATTGTCTGAAAACCACCAATTGACTGGTTAATCCACAGGAAAAATGTCTCACTAGCTGTCTCTTGAGAGTTCAGTAAGATCTCTTATCTTGCTGTGGGTATGAAACCAGGTCAGTTGATTCTTCCTAAATGCCTAGTGCCTGCCTTCAGTGGGTTTTACTTACCTGAATGGATACTTTATCTGAAATAAGTCCCCATAAAACTTAGATTTTTTTTCCACTGATGATCCTCTCTAGTCTGGACTTAGTCAATGCTGAAAACTTATGACCTCATTGAAGGGTCATTTAATTTGGCTTTGTGTCAATGAAACAGCTGTTAGGAAATGATAGTGTTTGGTGTTGACTTCTGTGGAGATCTTAGGAGGCAGAACTGGCAGAGAGCTTGAGCAGTCATCCTGTTATCCTCTGCCCCTACTCACAAAACAAGACAAATTACCAGGTACATTCCTGACAGATGTTTTTCAAAAGAACTCTAAAAATCTCGTGATAGAGGCTCCACAACCTCCCCAGGCAAATAAATCTATTGCTTTGCTATCCTTAAAGTTCAGAATGATTTCTAATGTCTAACCTAGCACTCCCTTGCTGCCAAAAATCACAGGAATTTAATTTACTAATGGATATGGTTGGTAAGTGTCATTACTCTTTGTCTGGCATGAACTTTACTCTGAGGTGACATTAGAATCAGATAAGTGAACTGTGGGATGTTTCTTTTCACACAGATGAAATAAGGGAAAGACATTTGTTAACATTTGTTAAACAACAGGGGCTTCTCCCTTTTCTGATGGCCCTTCCACTGCAGCAGAGCTGTCATTTTGAAGTTGTATCTCAACTGCAGTAAACATTGTCACAGCTAAATTTTTACAGCTGCAGTGAGTGGTGCTTGGTGTCAACAGTTTTCAGTGGAAAAAGCTGATTCCTGCCTTGCTAAAATGAACTCTTAAAAGAATCTAAGAATAGATACTCGTAAAATACCCCATTTTGTGTACCTTTCTCTTTTTAGTCTCTGGTGTCTTCTTGTTTCTTCTTGTGTAACTCCAGTGTGGTCAGTGAAGTCTCCTCAGCATGGTAGCTGATGGCACTGCACAGTGCTGTTTCCAGCCCCAATCTTCTGATCCCTTCAGTTCCAGCTTACAAATGCTAGACCTGGGTTAATCCAACAGCTGCTCAACAGCCGCCTAAGCTTGTTGTTCTGACCCTGAAACTCAGAAAGTTTCAGCTGTGAACATGTCTCTATCATTTGTCTGTGCAGCAGACTGGCTGACGACTGCTAATAAATGAGACAGGGCCACGGTGCAGGTCTGAGCAGTGCTGATTTGGTACCGTGTTCTGGGCACAGCTTTGACCCGTGTGTACTGGCATGGACTAGCAGTTCTTAGGGTGCATGGTTTAGCCCACAGGAGGGACTTTGGGCACTTAAGATGTGAACGCCTTGTTTTGGAGCTGAAAGCAAGCAGAGCTGCAAGGTTGCAAGCTGCACTGTGCCAGTTCTGCACAGGACCCTGGAATTGTTCTTGGGCTGTTGTGTTCACTCCTACCACTATTCTTACAGGGGACAGCTTAGAAGGTGAAGTTCACAAGTGAGTCACCCCATGCTAACAATGTGGTGCATCAAGGGGTACAACCTATTAACGTGTGCTGGGGCAGCAGCAGGAGAGGTAACTTGCACCACTGAAGTGACAGTAATGCAGCTCCAGGCCAGCAGCAGTCAGAAAGCAGTGCAGCAAGGAGGTGGTGGCAAGGCATGAGAAGAAATCAGCTTGAGGAGAAAGTGGTAGCAGTGGTGTCACCACAGTAAAGGCTGGAACTGATTATCCAGGTGCCAGTTTGTTTAAAAAACAGTCCTCTTTCAACTTCAGGAAATCTTCTCCATCTTTGCTCTTTGTGATCTTAGGCTTCTATTACATTATCTAAATCTCATCCTCTGGAGCTAAAGAATCTAGCCATGAAATTAGCAAGCATTGCATTTCTTTATAATCCACAAACCAGTGTTACTTTCATAAAAGTGTCCATCCTTTTGGGGGTCATTTTCCATCACTGCAATCTATCTTCTCACTCAACCACTTTGTGACCAGATCTATTAACTTGTATGCAGAACGAATGAGCTGTGTCAAAGATGTGAGGGCCTCACCCTTTCTTCACTGGCCTGGGAGATTCCTAGATCTCTATTACTAGAGAGCAGCTTTACACTCTGGTCTGAGATTCAGGGGTTTCATTGCCTCTGCTGTATTCTCAGGCTGACCAGCCATGTCTTAGTCTATGCTGACCACTACTCCACAGATGATGCATAACTTTTACTGCTACTACCAGTGTACCCAGCAGTTTTCCTCTCAGGTCTGCTGAGCAGCAGATGTCTTTTAGGAAAAAGCAGCATATATTTCCTCTATTTGTGCAACTGTAGGGTGGGGTTTGCTGTGCTAACCCCCTTCATTGTTTTGCCTCAAAGAGCTGGTCAGAAGTCTGAATGGTTTGTTGTCAGGAGAAGCTGCAGTTTCAGAAAAATCCAGAAGCTGCCAAAATGTTTACCCTATTATTTTTATATGAGGTAATTGTTTGTAGATAGTGCATCTTCTAGTGTGCACCATTGCTGTAGGTAGTAGGAGCCTAAATGAACTTCTGACTTAGGCTAACTCATGGCTTTTGTCAAGCCCAAATAGGACTAAGATGCGGTAGCCTCCCAGTTGAAAGACCACCTGATGATTTGTTTTTTGTGAATGGGCATGGGGAACAGATGGATGTCACCGCAGGGTGGGTCTCTGAAGGTAATAAACTCTTCAAAGATGGGTTGATGTGTGAGAAATTGCAGGGTGGATGTTGTACCTCGGATTAAACTGTGAGGCAGATAGGTTGTTTGCTAGCACCTGAAGCAGCAGGCTCTTGGCACAGCTAGGTTTCCAGCAAGAGCTGATGCAGCCAAAGGGAGCAGGAGAAAACCTAGTGCAGGAAAGGCAGTGACAGGACTTTGGACATGATCATATTTTCAGTCAAGTAAAGATCATCAACACTTTGGGCATACACAGAAGAAAGGATCCACTGCTGGCTCTCGGTGGAGAATATCAGGTAGAAGAAAAAGACTCCATTGAGTGAAGACAATGCAGATAAATGAGGACTGACAGGTCCCAGTGCACTCAAGTCATTCAGTTCCATGCCTCTGGTTATACTTCCTTCAGAGTTGCTGAGCACTGGAGAGTGACATCTGTTACAAAAGAGCAAGGAGAACAAGGCCCTCTGGGGAGTTCTCAGCCGCAAACAAGAAAATCTCTGAATTCCTCACCACCACAGAGGCTTCAGCCCTTTAGGCAGTCAGTGGAAAGATTGAGTGAGGTGGCAAAAACTGTACAGCAGAGCAGGAATTAAAAGTACCCTGGTCAGAGCTGGGAAGGAGTTCAAGGCTTGAAAATTCCTCTTGCTGACTCACTCGGGGCGAGTCAAAGGCTTTTCCTGGCAAGTGCTGTTCATACATCCAGATTCTCAGCTTTCATTTAGAGAAGGAGTCGCACTGAGTTCTCACAGAGCTGAAGAGAGCTGCTTCCACAGCAGCAGTACCCGCAGCGAGATGCCTGCCTCCCAGGCATTGCTGGAGCACAGCTGCTCCTTGCTCAGCACCTCTGCTGGACGCAAAGGGATCATAGTTCCCCATTTTCAAGGGCTGCTGATCAGAGCTGGCTGAGCAGCAAGACCTGGCAAACATCAAATCAGTTTTATGGAGCAGTAGAGGAAAACCCCAGAAGCAGCAGCAGCAGCTCACAGCCTGGAAATACTCACAGGAGCAAGAAATGGGAGGGATCCAGCACACCAAAGCTACATCTGCAGTGGTGGTACTGGCCTTGTCCCATTATAGAGCAGATGAACTGAGCACTAGAAGAGTCTTTTTCTCTCCGCTGGCTATGAAGACATCCATGGGGGACTGGGCAGTTCATCTCAGATGTGAATACCTGTATGAGTCTTACCCGGGAGGTCGAGGAAATCTAAAAAGCTAGACAAGTGGTAAAGAAGCAGAAATGCCTTTCTCTAGCAAAGGACTTAAAGGGTGGCAAAAAATCTTCATCCCACAGGCAGGGGCACATCAGAGGCAGGAGGAGAGAAAGTATTCTCCAAAGCCGTCCTTGTGCTGGCCAGAAGCTAATTAGAAATGTTTTGAGCCAAAGAAGTCTCTTGCCGAGTATCCCAGTTGATGTGCACTGAAGGTGCACTCCAAGGAGGGTGTTCCTACAGCTTCTTCTCATGCACATGTTTTGCATTATCTGTATATTATTTGCTTTGTAGCAATTATTCCACTCTTTCATTATGCTGGATAAATGAGAGTTCTTTGTAATTAAAAGGTGTTAGCTAACCTGCCTAAAAAGAATCGGCCTTACCTAGACAGAGCTTTTGGGCCCAAACAATGTGTTAAAACATGCTCAAACCATATATTCCTGTCAGCATTTATAACCAAGAGTGCACACTGCTATTTGTTTCCATAAGCTGGTAAGGACAGACTGAAAGAGTACGTACTGCTGGGTTTTAGGCCAGAGGAACTCTGGACACTAGGTCAATCAATACAAGCCAGCTGAACTCTTCCCAGTGTTGGGACAATTTATCCTTGTCACGGTAGCTTAAATTGCCTCCTTATCTTTTGTGGTGGTTTTTAGGTATGCACAATAGCAACTGGGGATTCATTCCCCCTCCTTGTTTTTAAGGCCTTAACTGAGACAACTGGGCACCATGTAAGCTAATAACTAATAGAGAAATACTGGGGTACATGAATCACCCATTGTAGGAGCTATTCTCAGCCCAAGGACTATGAGAGACACAGTTAAAACCTCAAGTTGATCTCCCATATGCAGAACTATTTAGCAAGCCTCTGTGTGTTCCAGCCTGTGAGCTGTATCTTCATAGGTGTCTTGCTAGTTGCGTTTTCTACAGTGTTTTTACTCCAGTTGTGCTCCCACTGCTGATACATCAGAATCCAGAATAATTTTGGTCAACTTTAAGTTTCTCATTAGCAGTATGAGATGTAATTGAAGAGAGTTTGTGAAAAGAGGCCATACCTTCTATCAGACCAACTTTTATATGGATTAATTCAGATTTCAATTTTCTGACCTACGTTTTTCATGTCTTAACTACCAACCATTGACATTTGCCTCCTCATGCTAGATCTTTTCTAACTATATTCTAAGACCTAAATGAATATTTCTGCAATATTTGAATTGCCATTTACATTTTCTTTTAAAGATCCCACTGTCTGGCTGGCAGCATTTTCAAGTACCTGAAAACCTTCTAAATCTGGTGTCTAGATTCTGGTCTGTACTTCCTTATGCCTATCTGTAAAAAAATGGTAGTAAAATATGCAGTGTATTGTGGAGCACTATTACTTGTTATTAAACTTGGCTGTGATTTTGGAAAATTCTGGTGATAATATTTAGCAAATTCCTGATATGTTCAGTCTTTCAGGAAGGAAGGAATAGGTAGCTCTGAGAGGGAGAAATTTGTCTCTTGCATTTCTGTAAGCGAGCTATGTGCACATGGCGTGCCTGTGAATTTTACATTACCTTGCACAAGTCAGGAATGAGTCCATACTTTGCATATGGAATTACTGCAACTGGCTGCAGATCTGGAAAACAAAAAGGTGCAAGAATCAGCTTTCTTGTTTTTGGACAGGTTTGTTGCCCTTCAGTGACTTGTATACAGAGGGTAATATTTGGGCAGTGTGGAATATGCCTCTATTCAACTTACAAGGATATATACTTTCAAGAGTGCAGTTTTAACCAGATTTTTTCTGTTCTTTTAAAAAATTTTTAGTCTTACCTCCTGTACTTGTCCCAAGACACAGCGAGTTTAACTCTCACCTCAGCCTCCTTGACAAGTTTCGAAACACTTCTCTGCACAGTGAGCCGCTGATTCCGTACAATGCCACCTATCCTGATTCTTTCCGGCATCCTCCATGCACCCGTTTTCCACCATTACCCAGCCACATGTTCTCGCAGTCACCTAACAGCATCAGCTACCTCAGCTCACCAGGAAGCTCTTCTGGACTAGGAAGTCCCTATCAGCTCACAGGTAAGAATGAGCTTTCAGACGTCCTGGTTGGGGTGGTTGAGATTCTTGCCAGGGACTGTAGCTACAAATTGAAAAGTTGGACAGGATGAATTTGGAATGTGATTTCTTGTAACTGTCTCTTAGTATTGTCTCCCAGTCTTTCTGACAGATACTAAGAGCTGTAGTCATCTCCTCCTAGAAGTGCCTGAATGTGATTTCATTATTACTATAAGGGGAGGGTTGAGGTGAAGAGCAGGTGTGCCAGGCCACCTTCTTGCCTAAAGCACGTGTCTGATACAATCCATGGAAAAGGGCACTTGCATGACCTAAATTAGGCATGTGTAGTAGTCAGAGTGAAGAGTGAGACTGGATAAAGTGGGAAATGGGTACGCAGATGTTGATGTATGATCACACTGACTGCATAAACTTCAGGAAAGAAGGTGTTCAACAATCTGGCCCAGCAGTTGGTGAAGCCACCAGGCAAATTCCTGTGACTTTGGAACATGTTTCATCAGCTCCACTGTTCTGAGGTCATCAGGATTATGTCAGTCATATTGTTGGCATTGGGAAGTTCTTACTGAGTACTGCTTTAATTACCTGAGAATACAACTATGCTTTTACTGTTAAATATACTAAGAAGGTGTCATACAACACAGCTGGGAGCCTGCTTTAATAACAAAACATGGTTCAGATTAATTTCTGCACTTTGTTGTAACTCTTAAATAGTTTCAATGATCTCAGCTTTTTCACAAGGATTAATTCAGGTCAGAATCTTGTAGCTTAATGGTTTAAAGTCTCAACTACAAAGCATATAAATTCATGTCCTTAATAATATGCTTATTTTGATATTAAGTGAAAGAAAGGTGTTTATTTTTACAAGGTGTTTGTAGTATTTGACCTTCCTTTTAAGCTGGACACTTTACCACAGTGTGATGTTTCTCCTTCCCTCCCCATTCATTGAATGGACCATCATTAGTTTCTTCTCTGTACTCCAGATTAAATCATACTTGGTGACATTGAAACATTTCGGCAAGTAGTAGGTCTTGTTTGTCTTCTCCCACCTTTTTCTTTCACCTCTGTGTAAGCACACTGGATTTGGTGAAGCTGGTCCTGACAGGTAAATCAGGCCTATTCCAACTAGGTAATGACTTTTTGACTCGTGCATTTAACTGAACCTGGGACCGTGAAAAGCTGCTTAATAATGGAAGTGGCTCAACCTGAGCTTCAGTATATCACAGCACACAGCATGATAGTATGCTGATAAGCATAATTTGCCTGTGTAACAATTGGGGATGGCAGACTATCTAAAGCAAACTGGAGTTACATTAAGAACCTTGAGTAGGATTGGTGTGACCAAATATAGATGTCAACAATGCAAATTTCTACATCTCATGTAATTGTCTGTACTCCCTCTGTAATCAGTGAAGAAAAACAGGCACTCCTAGAACAAGTTTCATTGCATCTTAAGGTATATGTCTAAAGCAGCTGAGGTGCACCATGTCTGCAGTACATATTTTTCTTTAGTGGGCATAAGGAGAGCTTATGGTGACTAGCTTAGACATTAGTGTAGACATCAAAAACACCTGTATAACCACATGGTAGTCCTTTCTGTGACTTGTATCCTCTTCCATTCTTTCTTGATTTTGTTTTACTTTCCTAGCTTGTTGCATTTTCTGTGGGAGGGTTACGTCATCTGTTAGAAATATCCTATAGTGTAAGAAATTCCTAAATACTAAACAGTGCTTAAATAGAATAACACACATGTGCAGTACTTACTGGGAATAGTGAAGAATTACCTTATGAGACAGTTCACATCTATCCACTGTAGATGAAGCTGCTCTGTTTTGAGGGCTAGCTAGCAGACCCTTAACACGAGGAAATTCCAAACTGGCATCAAGTTAAACCCTGGTCTTCTTAAAGAGACCATTAGTCCTGCAAGCTTTTATATGGTTTTGTGTATATAATTTAGACATAAGCCCACCGAGTTTCTGTTCAAATGAATAAAACTACATACTTTCATTGCTTATGCAGTGAATGTTGGCATTTTCTGATCTGAAAATGAAGTCTCTTTTTCATGGGCTTTCTTACACCTCCTGTCTTTCTTGAGAGTCCCCACTGTGTAGCCACCTTCCCTTCTAGCTTACCATGCCATAAATGAAGCAAGTCAGGAGCTGGGCAGTTGTGAGTTGATACTTTTTCTCTGTATTTTTTAATCACATCCGTTGCTCTTTGATGGGAGACTGAACAAACCAGAAGAGGGCCACCATCCTTCCCTTGCAGGACAGAGGTAAGAAGGACAATCTGGAGGAAGTTTCGCCAAATCTGATTTTAGAGTATAAAGGCTTCCCAGAGGCTCTTACTATAGCCTGTTAGGAAAGAGAGCTTTCTCCCAGAGGATAAATTAAAGTTAGCTTCTGCTCTTACATCATTCTCTTCAAGTCTTACATTTGGGAAAGAAGCCTGGAACTGAAGAGTCAAACTGTGTTACTTTTTTAAGGTAATAGCTCGTACTGACAGAGAGCTTGACTAGACACCAGTCTAGGCCTGAGACACTGTTGTGACTGTCCTTCTCACTTTTCAAATGCAGCATCTCCAACATGACAGTCCTCCTTCCTGTCCTGCCTGAACATGTAACAGTCTTACTCTGGAAGGGATATCTGTTCTCTGTTTCCAGCCCTTCTCTAGCTAAACAACGCTGAATAAGCTCAAAGTACTCGCCCAAGAAAAGATGGAGAGAGTTTACCAATGTATTGATTTACGTGTCTTTTCTTTCTTTTCTTTTTTTTTTTTTTTTCCTTCTTTCTAATAGTGGAAACTCCACCCCCACCTCACCATGCAAGAGAACCTCTAGGAAACCACAATGGGCAGTCAATGGATGCAATAGCTGAAAGTCAACTAGTGCTGTCTTTGCCCAATGGAGGTCAATCTGCCCATGGAGAAGCTGAAAGTAAATAACCATTGTACTGTTCTACTATTCTTCAGAGATAAACTATTAACTAAAAAAAGTTGTTATCTGAAGAAGGTTCAGTGGTTGGTAGTAATAGGTTTCAGACAGTTTTACAGTAAGGCTGTGTACTAGAGCCACCTGTTAGCTAGCAGAATAGGTTGATTTAATAATTCAGTGAATTATTTGTGAAGTTACAGAGTTTCCACCTTTTTTGCATCCATGTACTGTTAAATTTAGAATGCTGTTAATGAAAGCAAACACTATTATCTACATTGTAAAAACAAAGATACCAAATCAAGAATGGTGAGGCAATATAACACAAAAAAGCACTATCAATATCAGAGCTGATACCTTTGATTCTGAGTTTGAAGTACTTTACAGCCATGTAGTTGGGATATTTCTTACTGCCATCTTTGTATTAATGTTACATTACTGGCTGGCTTGAAAAGAAAAACACATTTTCTAGTGAAGCACAAAGAGATTTTTACAGAAAGCCAAACTCTTTGTTCTCATGTAAGAATGCTTTAGTGGGAGAGGGCATGGATACTCAGAATAGAAGAGACTGGGATCCTCCTCAGTTTCCTCAAAGCAATGTCATGACCAATCCAGCATGACCTCCCTTACCTTCAGCCTAGTAGTGGCAGGTGATGCCTCCCCTGTTTGAAGCCTGTGGCTGCAGAGCAGCAAGGGGAAATGGAGTTCCTCTACTGGGTTTTCCTTTGGCTTCCTGCTACCACAAGGGAAAAATAACCATTTTTCTTTTTGTCCAGCATACTGTAGTCCTAAACAGATGTCCTTTATGGCATAAGGAGTGAACACTGCACACACATGCACATTAAAAAAATAATGCCAGCCTTCTGAAACAGTGAGAAATGTGCATCACAGAACTGAGGCAGAAGGAAAATGAGTGCCTTAGTGCTAGTTGCAGATGGGTACACAGAATTGCCAGATACTGACTAGTTAACAGACCCCAACACTTCTAAATAAATTGTCAGGATCCTTTAATCTCTTACCATGGTTTACCATCCATGATCACTGCCCTAGTGAATATTAGTTAGAAGCTTATTAGAGGTTATGCACAGAGGTGCTTTGAGGGCAGGGGCTTTTGCATGCCTGTGGTGAGCAGGCAGGATAAGGTTTCCTACTAATTCCTGAAGGACAAATGAGGCTCAGAGATTCTGTTACATCTTTTAGGCTGTTTTCTCTGAGTGAGAAAACGTGGGCAGGGGTAGATGCTGTAAAAATTACCTACCTGACATTGATGCTTATGGTCCCACATGGAAGCAGAAAGTCTCAAAGCATGTGAAAAAACTATGAGGAGTGATTGATTACTTCTGAACTTTAGAGTTTGGTGTAAGGCTGAAGGCTCTGCTCAGTTTTAACTTGCTTTGAGCCCATCTGTCATCCCTAGCTCCTACTGGTGTGCAGAGCAGATGTGTCCCTCACTATTTTCAGTGTAGAGATTGGGCCTTGGTTCAGCAAGGAATGTCAGCATGTGCTTAAATTAATGTGGTACATTTTCCACTTTTGAGAACAAGTGGGACTCCTCAGGGGCTTAATGTTAAGCTGATGTACCAGCCCTTTGCATGTTTGGGGCTTCAGTCATGAATTAAGAACAAACAGAAGCTGCTGTTTGAGATAAAGCCTGACATAAGTAAATGTTCAGATGAAGAGCCAGGGTGGTGAGAGAAGGAGGAAAGAAAACAAAGAATGTTTGTGTAAAAAATATTTCTGAGACCTGAGCAGCTGATCAGTTTTACTTCCCTACAGATTTTCATCCTGTTTGCTTTGAGGAACCCCAGCACTGGTGCTCTGTTGCCTACTATGAACTCAACAACCGGATAGGGGAGACTTTCCAGGCTTCCCCTCGAAGTATCCTTATAGATGGATTTACAGATCCCTCCAATAACAAAAACAGGTTCTGCCTAGGACTGCTATCAAATGTAAACCGCAATTCTACTATAGAAAGCACCAGGAGACACATAGGAAGAGGTAAGAGAAAACCCCTTCTTGTTGGTAATACTCAGAGCTTGAAAGAACTGTGCATTGCATTAACAAATGTAGCTGATTAGTCAGGTGTGCTTGTCTTAAAACCAAAGCTCTGAGATTACTTCTGAAATAGAAAAAAAAGTGGCTGTTTTTTTTTGACTGGATAACAATCAGCAGAGTAGCTCCTTACAAAAGCTATTTACTTGGCCAGTGAAGAGAAAAATGTTGTTTATAGTTGTGTGTTCTAATTTAGCAGTATGTATTTTCATTTTATTTATTAGAGCTTCTGGCAACTGGGAATATTGCCATTGAAATGCCACTAAAAGGATAATTGCTGGTGCCTCAGGGCTGGTTCTCCTACCACCAAATAACAAAGGAAGATGGATGAAACGCTTAGTAGTTGAGTTATTTGGCCGAGGAACTCTACCGGAGTTGCCTTTGTAGCTTTTTTCCCCCCTGCCAGTCTGATACACTACCTTTTTAGCTTCTCTCCAATAAACTAAGCCCTGCAGCAGTTCTCCCTGTGTGCATGCAGAGGTGTATGTTGCTGGTGACAGGTACAAGGAGACCACGCCTGGACATGGGTGGCTGCGCACACTCCATCCCAGGTCACTAGGGCTGTATAGGGCCTGATATTCTCCCACAACTTACTGTTGTTTGCAACGGTGGGTCAGAAGCCCTGTACTGGCCACATCTCCGCAGATGAAGGTTTGCCTGTTCTGGTATATCCAGTCTAGACTCATTATCTTGCCAGCCCAGCGTCTCACCAGTAGCTGCCTGGGAATGGATTTCCCACTGGGTTAATTAACTCTAATTGTTCCACTCCTTATTACCTTGTCAAACTCACCTCATTTCCCAGGCCTAGAGCAGTATTTTAATTGGCTCTTGATAGTCTAGTGTTGAATGACTGAGTACGAGGAAGCTCAGAGATAAATGTGACAGTTTTTACAAAAAGCAGTGAACCTGAAGGCTAGTGCAGGAGATGTTGCACTTGGCTCTTGCACTTTTCTCCAAAAGGGAAAGCACTTTCATTGTGGGTGCCCTGTGTGAAGCCAGTGTGATGCTACAAGTGTCAGTTGTAGTAGTTTGTTATGATGGGTGGAAGTGACTTGTACATCTAGTTCTAACTTAGTCGGACAATAAAGCAGAGCTTCTCTATCAGCATAAGCTGTCAGAGGGTGTAGATCAAAGCTTAGCCTGGCCCTAAAAGAAGAATGACAAAAGATCCCAGTCAAAGCTGTCATCTGAGGATGTTACGTCCTGTGACTTTCTGCCTCAAAAGAGGAAGAGACAGAACAGGAAGAAAATGAGGTAAATGCTAATGGTTCTCATCCATTCAAATCTGAAGATCTGTCTTCATTGATTAAAAGTCCTTTAAAGGCTTATACTAAGAATCTGCCCAAAGGAAGGGAGCAGGTTGCCCAGAGACAAGCTTAGTGTATCAGAGATCCTTAATTTTACTGCTCTTTCCTGTTTATGCAAATCTTAAAAAAAAACATGTTCAAGTGGAATAGAAGTGGTACCAGTACAGGCCTGCAGAAGAGCACAGCACAGCTCCAAAAGTGTGCAGTTCAAAGGCATGCTGGACAGATGAAAGCTACTGAAATGGATACAATTGTCACATGTTAACGGGAGAAAAAAGAATGAGTAAACAAGATTAGCTCAGTGGGATAAGGATATGTGATTGAATTGTCATCTAGTGTATCAGCGTGAAACGGTTTCCTGGAAATACCACATCAAAGCTAAAAACAATCCAGAACACAATGAACATCTAGTAGCAATTGGACCTGTTTCAGCAGTCAGACTTCAAGGACAAAAAGGGGACTTCTAATTAGAGCATCAAAAAGATGTGGGTGCATGGAGGCTGCTGAATTTCCAGTTTCTGCAGAGAGCCATGAAGTTCCTCTAAAACATACGGACCCTTGATTTGGTCTTCTACAAATATCTGTTCAGCTGCTTGGCTTTCTTGAGGGTGCTTGTCTCTGGAAAATGAATGCCAGAAGAACGGAAACACTGACATTTTGTAACTGCTGTATTTATTGCTTTTAAAAAGTTGACAAGAAAAGAGAAAATCATAGCCTCTACATTCAGAAATTACTTTGGTGTTTTTGCTATTGCAGTACAGTGTGAGAAATGCCTTTGAAAGCATTATTATTTTTTTTTTCAGAATTTCGGTTACTTAATGTGCTCTCAAAATCCAGCCTTTACAATTCTTCACCTTAGCACCAGAAGTGTGCTTGTAGTCACACCTGAAGTTTTGAGATGTGGTGAACATAGAAGTCTTTATTCTTCTTTCCCTGCCCTGTGTTGTCACTGTTTATTTCAGAAAGTTAAATGGACTTCATCAAGGTCAAGCTAGGACCTTGGTGTTTTCAGTCCTTTGCTTCTGTCCATTTTCCACAGTCACAGCACCCAATAATGTCTGGTGCAGTTGACTGGAGCTGATGGCTGGTCTAATGGAGCTGCCATCCCACCCATGTTCCCAGTGCAATACTAGCCTGTTCTGTGAGCCACACCCCCTGTCACTCACATCTAATTTGAGAGCTTGTGGGTGCATAGAAGTCAAGTGATGGCTTGAAGACAGACTTCAAGGTTCCTGTCTGAGTCACTCTGGAAGTCTTTGGGAGAGTGTATTTTTCCCAGATAACTTTCCCACTCAACCTGCTTTACCCAGAGCCTTTCCCACTTTTGTTTAGAGGCTGTTTTTGTCCTCAGGTTGTGCTGCTGCCCCTTACTGTCATGACCACAGAATGATGAACAGACTGGGAACATGTAACCAGTCTTTTTTTAATGAAAAACAACAGGAATAAAACTAATTACAACTGAATTATTAAGCATAGTTATCACTAGCTTTGCAAGTAGTCCACTGAAACTCTGTGATCATGTGCATTTGTATGTAAGGGTTTGAATACCATACCTGGGAATAGAGAAGAGGATTTTATTTTTGTTTAGTGGTGGTTTTTATGAGAACAAAGAACTGAGCTCTTCCACCTCTCTTGGCTGTGGGAGGGGTTCATCTCACCTAGTCTAGCCATGGGAAGGATGAATGCCTAAGTATCTTTACAGGATGACTTGGCCCCCTTTGGGGTGTCATACTGTGCTCACATTTAAGCAGTCTGGGTCCCCACTGCCACCCTTGCAGTGATGCAAATAAATTTTCTGTTGTTTTGCTTTATTTGTTTTGAAGTTTATTGGCTGGTTCACTTCCCCCATCTGGATGGCTGCCCAGTCTCCAGCCATTGCTGCCAGCATGATAGCAGGTTTGGGAAGAAGCAGCAGGGGCAGGGAATGAGAGAACCTCTTCAGCACCTGCACAGATTTCCATCAGTTTACACTGGCTGTGAGCCTGCACTCTGTAGTGGATGTAGTGAATCATTTGGTCACAGTGCCTCTCATCTTCTATGAACTAGAGAAGGCATTTACACTATCAGTTTACACAACATTCCCAACTTTAAGGTTGCTGAATTAGGCTAAGATAAGTTCTCCCACCAATTTAGGAATATTTTTATGCAAGCAATTATCCTGGAGGGACCAGAGTATATGAATGGATAAAGATGCTTCCATCTTAATTTCCCTAAGGCATGGTAGAAATTTGAGAGTTAGTGTTGGTAAGTTACTTGGACACTGAAAAGTCCAAAAGGAATTTGGTAGTTTTCTTGCTAAAGGTCATTTAGAACAGGATCTGATGAGTAAGTTACGTAATGTAAATGCAAATACATAGTTCTAATGGGGAGGATAAAGCAAAATACAGAAAAGCTATTTGAAGTGTACACCATACTGTGTTTGAACTGCATGAGATAGGATCCTGTAGTAAAAAAATAGCGTGCAGTGAGGTGGGTCTTGATGAGCATGCATGTGCTCAACAGTGGAAACATTTAGATGTGTAACGCATAACAGATTTGTCAGTTCTTTGACAGTACTGATACATGCTTTGTAAGTGGTTGACATATGTTTGACATTTGTGTCTGTATGTATGTGCATGTCTGTGTCATGAAGTACTGTATTGTTGGGTTAAAGAAGTAAAACCAGGCTTCACTGAGAAACAAGGCAGAACACCATGTGGCAAGAATTTTTTCCCCTAGACCAGCACCTCCAAATAACATTTATGACAATTTCCTCTTAAAGTGGTTGGGTCCATTGTACAGTTAGTGGATATGCACCTAGATTACTGTATTTGAAAAGGTGATGAGTAGGCACTGAGTGTCTGGAATGATCTTGGGCTTCTGTGCCCATACTAGCAAAATAGTTAAATAATTACTGGTATGAAGTGTGTTGTGAACAATGGAGACGTAATAGATGTTGTGTTTTTCTTTTTCAAGGTGTTCATCTTTACTATGTTGGTGGGGAAGTTTATGCTGAATGTGTCAGTAACAGCAGTATTTTTGTGCAAAGCCGCAACTGTAACTATCAGCATGGGTTCCACCCAGCTACTGTCTGCAAGATCCCCAGTGGCTGCAGCCTCAAGATCTTCAACAACCAGCTTTTTGCCCAGCTGCTTGCCCAGTCAGTCAATCATGGTTTTAAAGCGGTGTACGAGCTGACCAAGATGTGTACTATTCGAATGAGCTTCGTTAAAGTAAGGACTCTTTGTTTGCTCTTGCATTTCTGAAAAGGCAAATCCCATCACTTGCTGTGGTGCAAAGCTAGACATCATGAAATCCTTCCCAGGTGGAGATTTAGACACCCAGCTTGCAGATAGCAATTCAGACTGCCTGATTTTCAGTATTGCCTTAAACTTCTGAGTGCTTAAAATCACTAGCTTTTGTGATAAACCTGGACATTTCTTAGATTCCAAAAATAAGGCTTTTTGTGGAGAGTAAGCAGAGACTGAATGGTGATGTTGCCCTATTGACTGCATAAAGTGCTCAACTTAGAAAGGCTTAGCAACATGTAGATGTTGCAGCGCATGTCTTGGGCAGATGGGATCTTTCCTGTTGTTACCAGTCTGCAATAGAGCTTGCTAGAGCCATGGATCTGAAAATAATGTCCTTATGTTTCCAGACTGATTCAGTTTCACCATTACTGTAGACCGGTATATATGGTCTCAGTCAAGAAATACTGGGTCAGCCCCCACTGAGCTTGCTGGGAATTGTTGTTGGCCAGATTGTCATAATTTCTGTTGACATTCACTCTGGCCAGCCACACTACCAGAAGGGATTCTTGCAAGCAGAATACAAAACCCAAAAGAACATCTGTCCTTCCCCTGTTAATTTGGAAGAGACAGGAGGCCATCAAAGCCATTACCATTTCCCTGTCTGAACTTTGCGGTCTGACCACTCTGTGTGATGTATCAGTCTTTGTGAGTTTCTTAAACCTTATAAATAACCTTCTCAGCAGAATGAGATCTCTTCACTCCTTTTACCTGTTAGGATTTACTTAGGTGCCTGTTGTAGCATCTAAACCCCAAAGAATGGTAAGTATTTTGAGACTGTTTACAGATGTGCTAGACTGATTCCTGTAGTGCTGCTGGGGAGAACTGGCAGGTATTTTCAGCCTGCAGACTAGAGTAGTTCCACCATAAGAAGCAACTTGGTCCTGCCAGCTACCAGAAGCAGCTTGAATATGTCCCTTTGTCTTGCAGATTTGGTTCTCTACAAATGACTGAATCAAGCTGATTGAATTCACATCTAGGATAGTACAAAAGTGCTTGAGACTAAGTTCCCCTAAGTACTGAAAAACAGATGAGTTAGGTCCCATGCAGCCTTTGGTTCTGACTCTTTACAGCCATCGTTGGGGACCCATCTCCTTAGCATTCTGAGAGCATTAGCGCCCTGTAACTTCTCCTATGAGTACAAGTCAAAATCTCTTTGCCTGTGACCATGCTGTTGCTTTTTCCTTGGGAAGGAACTGACATCTTGTTCGCACACAAGCATTAGGGAAGAAAAAGAAAGCAAGAAACCCAACAAACAGCATTTTCTTTAATTGGAGACGTGAATGGGCATGTTGTTTATAAAGGTAGTATAGCCAGTTACGCAATACCTTCATTATCTCAGCCTCTCACAGGCAGTCCCTTTGATGTGTTATCTGCCTCCATGCCCAGCATGGCAGGAGAAATGGTGGTGTTGATGCACTAAATAGCACTGCTGCCATATTATCACTTTGCTTTATGTAAACAATAGCAGCTTCGATAGCACCTCAGGCACCAGAAGACCAGTGCAAGGAGTTATTTTCAACCCTTTCCCATGACCTTTTGAAAACAGCTATGCAAATCTCTTCTAGGTTCTTCTTCCTAGCCTGTAAATACTCTTTTCTATACTCAGTCTTCTCAAATTATTTCTTTCCCAAGGAGTGAACCTCGGTGTGTTCAGTCTGGGGACAGAAATACTCATGGATGTTGGGTATGCAGAGCACAGAGGAGCATGTTGCCTGTCAGAGCCACACACCAGCAGGTGCAAGGAAGTCCTTTAGCTTGTCCCCTGATTCATGACCATGTGCTGCTGGTCACATACAGCCCACAGGGCAAGCAGACCCAAAGAGTGGAGACCCTCCCTCCTACCCCACCAATGCTTAAGCTTCCAATTGGGAGGCAGGGTTGGGTAAGGACTAAGATGTGAGAAACTTGCCAGGACTATATCACCTTCTGGAGGCAGGACATGAGACAAGAGGGAGGTGAAGGTCCTGTCCCCTCTGATGCCGTTAGTGTGCCTAGTGAGCAGCTGGGAGGAGCTCAGCCCTTAGGCAAAGGTGAATGTATTGTCAGTGAGAGCAGGGTAATTCCCATTTACTGAGCACTGCTGATAGCAAAGCAGGATGGCTTTTGTCCCTTTTCCACAGATGAGGCAGCTGAAGCACCAAGTGGAGAGACAGAGTTTCTCTAAGCCAAGGACTAAACACTGCACCCTCCCTCCTACATTTCCCCAGGTCCTGGGGCTAAGGGGGATGAATGACCCAGCAGAACTGGCCTTGCTGACGCACCCCAGTGCTTTGGGATGTGGCTGGCGCTTGAGCTGGAGAGACCTGCTGCCTGCAGGAGGGTGGGAAGGGCTGGTTGGAGCACCAGGACCTCTTGGCTGATCTCCCCTGTGCCATAAGGCGCATTTCTGGTCTCCCCACGGTGGTATCACTATTCTTTTCCCACCACCTGTGCAAAACACCTCCACAGCTGTGCAGGTTGTTCTCTTTTTTTATTTGCTTGTTCAGAGAGCTCCAGCTCCGAGCTCCTGCCAGCCCTGGGGGTGAAGGAGGCTGCCTACGGGCCAGGAGTGCTGTCCAAGAGGCACGGGGGCCCTGCTCTCCCGGCAGTTCCCGGCTGGCAGCTCCATCCGGGACAGCCAGGCTCGGCAAGGCGGCAGCGAGCGCTGGGGAGTTGCCAGCAGAGGGAGATGGCCAGCCAGCTGCAGGTGCTGCCAGGCTCCTCCAGCGTGGGCAGGTTGTGCTTCAAACCTGTATTCCCTTTTCCTCTGGATTTTCTGTCCTGCCTGTCAGGAGAGGTGCAACCGGATCCTCTGAGTCTTGTCCATCCAGCCGTGTATCTTCACTGTACTTCAGGTTCCACAAGCTGAGAAATCTGAGCTGGTTTAAAGAATGGCATTTTCTGCAGACGTTGCCAGAACATAAATCCGAGGTGCCTGTGAGGATAGGCCCTTTCTAGCCTGATAAATGCTCTGCAAATCAGAAAAATGCGGCCTGACTAAAGCTACCTTCAGGCTTTAGTGGGCCCATATCTTACTTTTCTGCTTTCTTCCCCCTTTTCTGTAGTAAGTAGAAATGGATTTTATCCAGATCACTTTTTATGGCATCTAGTTTTGGTGTTGATTCTAAGTTTTGCAGCTGATCATCAAGTGGGTCCTAGAAGCCTCAGTTGTCTGAGTTGTTCAGCACTCCACAATTTAGGTACTTTTGGCAGGATACCTCCATGTCCTTTTCTCCTGACAAAGAATACCAACCCACCTGACTACCATAATGATAGGTAAGGCTTAGCTTTTCTGAGCAGCAGGGCTGCAAATGAAGAGCCGCATCTTGCAGCAGGACCATGTTTTGCATGTTGCCCTCTGGAAATGTGAATTCTGGCAGTGAGATGTCTGGTTAGCTGTGAGACTTTGGGCTGTGACTTGGATGTCTTGTGTTGCTCTGAAATCAGGCTGCCTGATTAACAAGCAGACACTGTGCCCGCCTGAGGCTCGAGGACTTCTGGTTCTCCCTTCTCCCTCCCAGCCTATATTTTGTCTGACACTCCATATCCCTTGCCTTCCCAAAAGAGCTGGAGAAATTATTGCAGGACTTACCATAGTACACAGCTGGGGACTCCTGTGGAAAAGAGGACATGTTCAGTGATAGAAAACCTATAGAAAATGTCCATAGATACATAGGTTAAGTTTAAGGTAAAAGGGACATGAGAACCTTGCTGGAAGTTTACAAGAGATTCAGATAAATACCTAGGACTTCTAGAGTGTCACACTCATAGGATACATCTGTACCAATGTGACCAGGATAATTTCCAGTTCCTGGCCTGCTTGCCATCTGTGCCAGAAGGCCATCTGCCAGACTTTCCTGGGCACATTTCTGGGGTGCAAACCAGAGGGACCATTCCCCATGGTCTGTTTGTAGGCAGCCAAGACCGGAAACAGGCCTTTCTGTGCCAGTTGGTGTCAGCACCTAGAAGTGTGACTGAGCGTTTTTAATTTAATGTTATAGATAACTATGATAACAATAACTGTAAAAGGGAGCAAAGTTTCTAGAGAAAATTATCCCTAGGACAAAGCATTAAATCTTGGGAACTTGAGTGATGGACTACGTGTAGTTGTGTTAGACGTGTGTCAGCACTAGATTTGTGTTTTCATGTGTGTTATTTTTTTTAAAAAAAACCTCATTTTGGTCTTTTGATGTTTTTATAGGGCTGGGGAGCAGAGTATCATCGCCAAGAGGTTACAAGCACACCCTGCTGGATTGAGATTCACCTTCATGGACCATTGCAATGGCTGGATAAGGTGTTGACACGGATGGGCTCACCTCAGAGCCCCATCTCCTCAGTCTCTTAAGAATCATCTCTAGAATTCCCTTAGAATGGATGCTATTGCAGGCAGTGGCTTATAGAATTTCCAGTGAACAGGAGCTTCTATATGTAGATGTATGTAGATGTAAATATATCTGTACATAGTCTACTCTCTTTTTTTTTCATGTTACGTTTTGTGGTTTCTAGTTACTCTGATGCCAGTACAGTAAGTTTAGAAATTCAGGTATAGCATATCTGTTTACTAGTACAAAATAAGCCAAATTCCTGCAAAAGCGTCAATCATTTCCTGTGACCATCTTCATTCCCCAGCCAAGCCAGTAAATGTTGCAAGTTCTCAGCACTTTCACACAGATTCAGAAACCTGGCTGTAGCTGTTCCTAGTTGGTGAAATTCACCCCTTTGCAGGCAACCAAAGTCAGATCTCTGCACCATTTATATCCATTTTACATCCTAATTTCAGGTCTAGAAGAGGACATTAGGTGGTGCACAGGACTTATGCATAGAGATGATTTTTTTCCACTGAACTGAAGGACTGTACTGCAATTCCAGTCTGTCTCCCTACTGCAAAGTACGATGGGACAACAGATCCTCTGAGGAGCTGAGGCAACCCTGTCTCCCCTGGGATTTGGCAGGAGGAGAGAGTCCCTGGGACACGTTCAGCACTGGAGCCTTATCAGAGCATTCTGGACACAGCTGAGTAGTCTGCTACTGTTGGCACAGCAGGGTATGGTACTGCTGCACTGAAAAGCAATGAGCTCGTAAAGAAAGAAAAAAAGTTTGAAACAGATGCCTATAAGTTTAAACAGTAATTAACTTCCAATGCTTCTTTGCAAAGTACATACATACTTGCATATGTATCTGGCATGTAAATGGAATCCTAGCCATTATACAGTATTGATGTAGTTTGTTTTAAAGTTAGGACTGTCTGCAGTTAGACTGCTGTGCTGCTATCAAGGGTACGTCTAAAAGGGACTTGAACTGTGATTCAGAAAAGATTTGGCTTTAGTGCAGTCCACACATGCCTCTTATTAAAGGTAGTCACCTTCATACTCCCTTACTAGAAAGTAAAGAGGCATTTCTGGAGGGCATGATTGTTCTGACCTGCTTAAAATGTCTGCATTAGAGTCGGAGGGCATGATTCTTCTGACCTGCTTAAAATGTCTGCATTAGAGTGACATGACTTTCAGCAAATTTAGCTATTGGCTGGAAGTTTGATCAAAAGCACCTGATTCCGGGCAATCAAAGTCAACAGCCATGTCAGTTGTTGGCATTTGGGATGACTGGTATCATTGTACTACTACAATACACTGTGATCATTTGCTATCCCTGTGTGAACTCTCTTCTGTTTTGATGGTCTCTAGGGGCTCACTGCATGGGATGCTGTGCAAGCAAACAGCACCTGACAGCTCCTTCCCAAGAGAGGGGGAGCTCTCATGAGGAGGGGAGAAATGGTAACACTGGAAGAAGCAAACAAGTAAATTGGGAGATGATCCCTGCCAGGATGTAGTTAGAAAAAGTAAGGCAAATCATGGAATATTTGGAACACCAAGTAAACCATTTCTTCCCATTTATTTTTTAACAAAGTCTGTCTTACAGGTTTCTCTACTATGTGATTTGAGATCAGTTAGAATTCAGGTTTCTCATAATTTACAACAGTGGAACTTTGTATCTCACATTAATGTCTCCCCATTTTGGGGAGAGATACTTTCTGCTGAAAGGTCGTCATGAACCTGTCAACCCGTGGTCAATTTAAAACCTTTAAATGCATTTATGAATACTCAAGCTTTTCCTGAGAGATTTAAAACCACTTAAAATGAGACTACTTGGTCAAAGGCAGATTTTTTTAAAAATGGGTTTTTTTGACCCATCAGCAATTCAAACCCCCTTGAAAAGTTTCTGTGGAGAAATACTGTGCATCCACAGGCAGTAGGGGAAATTTGATCAGGTAGTGACATTAAGCACGTTGATCATGGTACAGACTAATTGTTTTTCTATTAAGTAGCCAAGAGAAGACTAACTGCTGCCAGTTCTTCAGCAGCACCAGTATGAATGTGCCATTTGCATCCAGAGGTGACGGAAGGACACCTGTCACATTGACTGCATAGAGTGAGCACATCACATTTCAGTGTTTTTTTGATGCTATAGTGCGTGTGACATCTTACTAATTCAGTTATGTCCATGAGATGCTTTGCAAACAAGAGAGCAATGGAACAAACACATTGATGTGCAGAGATAATGCACGTTCAGATAAATTTTATTTGCTTACTCAAGCAGTTGGGAGTTTCTAATTACTTATAATACTTCCTAAGTACAAGTGAAATGTACCACAGCATACTTTCTTGGAGATAATTCAGTGTTAGCAATTTAACTCCTCATTTCAGTATTGCCTCTGTGATATCACTTAGGTTGAGAAGTGAGACAAGAATGTGAAAAAGCAGGCCTTTTTGTGTGGATCAATGACGCCAAAAGGTTGCCAACTTCTCTATAGTCAAGGGGCCAAAATGGTGGATTTGAGCAGGGTGGGGTTTTTTAAGTACAAGCCATGACAGCCTGGTGCAGAATTGTGAGTTACATAGATTTGATGGTGTCACTTCTGTGAACAATTCTGCCCTCTCTGTCCCATCAGAATCAAAGCAAAATGTCTGCACCATCTGGATGAATGTGTCATTCATAGTTAGTGAAATCCTGTAAAACAGTGTAGATCACTATGGAGAACACTATTTGGGCTCTTGCCTCTCTTGAGAATTAAAAATCTCAGACATGCTGTTTCAGGAGCCCAAGAGATCAGGGCAGCTCAGAAGTCCTCCAGTCAGTCCCAAAGTACTCCATCCCCATGCACTGTCATACCAAGATAGATACAACCACTGCTAATTGAGAGGACATCTTCACAAGCATTCC